GATTTTTAAATGAGTGTTTGGTTTTCCAAGAAATTACCTACTTTTAAAATGGGTCATACAGAGGGTTCATTTAAAAGGCAAGTGACCCTGGTTTACTACGCATTCATTTGATTGACATCCAGTTGTTTTTTTTTTCGAGAATACCAAGAATACGAAATATCTAGGGTTGCTACTGTTTGCTTATATTGTGTAACAAACCTAATGTTAAACATGACCCTTGAGACTGTCCCCACATCTTCCCAGTCAGGTCACTTTGATGATATAGTAAATATCACTATGGTTCCACTTTTAAAAAACAGGGGTTAAATAAGGATTTCACCCCAACAAATAATTTCTTTCACATAAAACTTAAAATTCTCTTCAAAAGAAATACCACAGTCAAAAAATGTGTAGTAAGTACCAAAAAATGACATAACTGAAGCAATTCTGATCTCACCAACCACCTTCAATCATGACAATTTGTTCTCACATTCTGCCTTCTGTTCCTTCTGCCTTTCTTTTTCTGAAAATTAGTTGCAAATTACCAGAATGTAGTTTGAAACTGAGAGCAACAAGCTCATTCACTGAACTAGATCTTTAGGAATTAGAAAAAAAATAGAAAGTTTGACTTTTGAAAAAGAGAATCCTAAAAGCTTTTCAGAATGTGAAGTTAATCATTACAAATTTATCCCATTAGAAACAGCTCTTTAAGGCTGTAAGTCCCATAACTACTTAGATTCAGATTTGGGATATCTAAAAATAAACCCTCAGGAAATTAACCCAATCATCATAAAGATTCCATTAAAGGGAACCCATATCAAATCAGACTTGAAGCATGAAAAGGACCTTGGAGAGTTATCTACAGGAGGAGGGAACACAAAGTCACACAGCCAGACAGTTAGAACACTGGACTGGGATACAGGGCTGCCTCCAGACCCAGCGTTTGTTTCCACCACATCCTTGATCTTGAGGTTGGACTAGACACAGCACCCACCATATCAGTAATCTCTAACTTCCCCCAACCAACATCCAACACTACCCAAAAGAGGACTAGAAAAAAAAATAGGGGGAAACTAAACCCATTACTTTGAGATGGGTTCTGAATCATTCTTCAGGAGTTTTTTTTCCCTCCTTTACACAAAAAAATATAAACATATAGCACCTATGTGGTAATACATTATTGGGTGTTTTTTGTTTTCTGCTTGCTGCCCACCATCCAACATGCTTATTATTTGGAAGTGACTCCCTCAAGTGTGCAGTAGAGATGGAATGCAGTGCCCTTCCTTCTCACTGTCTGGTAGCTAGGATCCTGGTATTTGCTGGAGGAGAGGACACCACCAATTAGCTCTTGTAGAATCAACATAAAAACACAGGGATAACACAGATGTTACTCCAGGCAGCAGCAATGGCTACGACAGTGTCCATGGAGGCCCCCTAACCAGTCTATTGCTTGGTGTGACCAGACTCAGGTCTGCTCCTGCTCTATTCTCTCTTGGCTACAAGCTTGAATCTCCTACATTCCTATCGATCTGTGAGCGACCTGGTTTCTTCCATGGCAGTTCTCTTCTGCCTAAGTTGTTTAGATCAGTTTATCTTGCTTGCAACCAAAAACTCTAATAGGTATATAAGAGGTATTCAATGTTTCCTAAATGAACAAATAAATCAATGAAGCAATTGGTCATCACAATTTTCTGTATAATACTTTGCAGTTTGTTCTTCTTCATGCAAGAGTTGATTTTTAATTTTATTAACTAACATAGGGTTAGACATCATTTCCCAAAGTGTGCCATGACCTTTCATAGTGTTAGTTACCATATGAGTGGTATCATTTAAGTAGTAAGTCATTTAATGAAGCAATAACTCTTCTGAAAAGTTTAAAATAGGAGCTGTATCAAAATAATGGAAATGTAAAAGTATGAGCATGAAAGATGTAAAAAAATTTTTTCAAAAGGAAATTAGATATGCAAATAGCTTTTAAAAGAAGTCTAAAAATGGCAACTGAATTTTCAGATATGAGCTGATGTTCACCAGGCGCACTGGGGTGGAAACAGTTCAGGGCTGAGGGAACAGCATGTGCAAAGGCAAAAACTATGTTCAGACATGACACAAAAATCTTTGCTTTAATAATATGACTCTGTCTAACCCTACTTGGTTTGAGAATACTAAATAGCACCACTCTCCCCACCTCTACCTAATTAAGAAGTTTAAATCCACGGAAACTAACTCCTTCCTCCCCCAAATCCCATGCTTTAAAAGAAGGGGTGGAGAACTAATACTAAAAACTGTGTCCAAATCAAATATCATCGTTTTGTAACAAATGTATACAGAATATTTAATACTTTCAAAAAACCTTGCACCAAGTCCAAAATCAGCTAAATGGAAAAATTCAATGACTTTCCACACTTAAAATTATAAGCCATGAATCATGGTGCTTCAAAACATGAATGTTTCAGAATTACTCTAAGGAATTCACTCTCTTGCTACCAATTTATACAGATGAGGTAAAGAACTCCACATAGCATACTGTGCTTGGTTCCTGTGAACACCAAGCCCCAATCAGGTTTCCCAGTCTGATAGTTGGAAAACCATTACAAAATCCATTAAACCGTCTCAGTAAGCAAGAGAGGAGAAGCCACTTTGTGTTCAGTGACCTATACTCAGCCCCATGGATTATGAAGCAAGCAATTGAGTGCCAGGGTCCCCTTCTGACTCTGTATCTGATCTCCAGGGAGCCAGTTCTCGACTATTTCCAGGACAAAGTCTGAAGAGCACATTTCACCAACAAAGGAAGACAGTAAATACTTAAAAGTACTTTTAAAAAGAAAGGAAAAGTGAAATATCACAGATGAGGAGCTTTAACCTTTAATATTTTTGCTCTACGGAGCCTGTAAATTTCGTGTATCACTTATGATTCCTATAAAGTGTAGTATAAAAAGTAATTTCAAATTGTAATGGAAAGCCAGGTGAGAAGACCAAAGAAGAGCACATAACACGTATGTATCAAATGCCTACCCGAGGCTTCCAATGCTTTTCTGATACAGATACAAAAAAGCAGCAACAGCTTTTCTATCTGAATACATCAAATCCTACATTCTTGTGTCAATATACATCACAATTGTGTCTGCTCCTTGTTCTGAGGACATGCAGATGGCCCTCCTCAGTTCTGGGACAAAGGAGAGGGAAATCGCATCCACTGTCCTCGGGGCTGCTGGCTCCTGGCTCGAGGACACCAGGCCTTGTTGCTCTGGCGGCGGGAACTCACCATAAATGACCAAACGTGACTCACCCTGCCCATGACGAGGAGGGCGACAAGTGCCAGGGGCCGGTGGCCCCGTGGCCCGGTCGCCCGTCGCACTGCTGCGGAAGGAGGGGAGCCACTTGGCCCTACGAGCCCGTGACCCTCGCCAGGCCGGGCCTGGAGCCGCCGGGTCCGCGCTGAAAAGCGTGCGGAGACCGGAAGCGCTCGCGGTGCGCCCTTCCGCCTGCGGAACGCGGGGCCCGGAGCAGCTACTGCCCTCGGCCCTGCCTTTGTCTTCAGCTCCCCTCCGGTTCCTCCCAAGGAGGCAAGAGCGGGCCCGAGGGCGAAACCAGGCCTAGCGGCGAGGTCGCCGGGTCCAGGGCGCCCGAGGGCCGGGGCGATTCTCCTGCCCGGCCACGCGCCTTCCCTACCCCCTACTCGCCCGAAATCAATAGTCGCCGCTGACTTTTCGCGACAGTTGCAGCTAATTCATCAGTGAATAATTAAATCAGAAGCAGCCAGGCCTGCCTGCGCAGGGCCAGGTTTGGCATCGGAGACTAGGGGGTTTCCCTTTCCAGATCCCATCAAATTGGGGGCACCATTGGGAGCAAGGAGGGCAGACGGGGCGCAGGCCGCACCCTGTTCCCGGCTGGGAGAGCGGCGCGAGCCCGAGCGCCAGGCCGCGTGTAAAGAAGTGCGGGGGAGCGAGCAGGCCGCTCCGCCTAGGCCCGGCCCCGGGGCTGCAATTGCGCTCCGTTTGGGTGCTTATTCCAGATCCTCTTGCCCCTCGGTGCCCGCAGGGGGCTGCGCTTTACCTCCTCTTCCCGCTGACTTTGCTAAGGGAGAGGAAATCCACCCTCGGGAGGCGATTTGCCTTTGAGGAAGATGGAGAGGAGCAGAGAGAAGCGCCTAGAAACGGCATTGATTTAGACATCAATCCTGGCCGGCTCCCTCCGCCTCGCAGCCGCGGGGCCGCGCAGCCCCCTCTCCGAGAAGCGGCGGGGCTCGGGCCCCGGGGACGCCCGGCTCCGCGGGGCTGGTAGGGGCAGGAACGAGGATGAGACGAGGGTGCGGCCCGCCAGGGGAGCCGCCCGCGCGGCCACCCCGCGCCCGCGGCCTCGACGCCAGGCGCTGAGCCGCGCCGGCCCGCGCGAATACCTCTTTCTCGAGGCCAACAGGTCGCCCAGATCTCTCCCGAATCAGGGGCGCCGCCGGCATCGCTCTCTCACCCCGGGCGGCGGGCCGCAGTCCGAGCCCAGGTTCTTTGCGAGCAGCCAAACCACCTGTGCCTGGCCAGGCCCGGCTCGGCTCGGCGCTGGTTAGTGGCCCACAGAGATCGGGTCCATCTCCAGCGACCCCAGCCCTCACAGTTACCAAACGGCCGCCTCTGAACCCTGCGGTCGGCCGCAGTTGCTTTTTCTTACACGTTTTGGAAGCGAAACAATTCAAAATTCCTAAAAAGTGGCATCGAATTGATTTTCCAAAGATAAAATGCTCCCAAAATAATTTGAATGTGCTCTATTACTTTTGATCGTGTTACCTTGAAAGATGAGCTCAGATTCACTTGGTTATTTAAGTTCTTTGGGAGCTGATACTTAATGAATCTTTTTTAAAAATCGTGATTTTTTAAAAAAGAAATGGTCTGATTCGCATAAGTATTTTAAATCGGTTGGTTTGTTAGTTTTCAAATACAAATATCTTTTGAAGTCGAAAATAACATTTCTCAAGTTAAAAATCTGGCCAACTTTTTTTTTAATGCTCTGTACTTTTTTTTTTATTCCATGGGCGCTAAACAAATGAAATTACACAAAAAGATTTTAAAACTTCCCCATTTTCATGGAGAGAGGAAGTGCTAGGTATTTGCATTAATGCCTAAACAATATTGAATCTTTAATCAAAATTGTTATATCCAGAGCAAATAAATGGTCGTTTTAAGAAAATAAATTAAAAGAGCGATGCGCGCGCTTAGTGTCTCAGGGCAACTTGAAAACAGCTCCACTCTCAGAGAGCTAAATTTGTCCTTTTTTAAATCAACTGCAACTTTTCCCTTCCCTTTGAGAAGACACAAAAAGATTTCACGCACAACTTGGCCTGAACAAAAGGACCTCACGCCAGTTCTTCTTTTCTGGGATGACAACTGGAGAAGAGAAAAACTCTATTTTAGGCACACTTGAATTGTACTTTTGGAAACCCCCTGTTGAAAAGAAAGCACACATCTTAAACCCGAGGTTACAGGGCTTTGGGGGAGAGAAATAATGGGACAGGTATTGAAGGCCGATGGGGAGAAAAATCGTTCTCAGGAAAACAAGTTGTTTTCTTAAAAGTGCAACGTTCTTTCAGAAAACAAAAAACAAAGAAAACTGTTCGCGAGAGCCATGCTCGTGCCTACCCTCTCCCCAACTCCAAAAAAAAAAAAGTCAGCGCTCTGATCTTCTAAGGTTCCAATCTTCAAAATCCTCCTCACTTTTTTAAATTTCAAATTTTCTCCCACCAGCTTCCGCAGTGGTAGCAGCCGCATACACAGAACCGAAAAGGGTGCCCCGGAGAAGATTCTGCGGTGGGGCCCAAGGTCGGCGGAAGGAAAATGCTACGGCAGCGGCTGCAGTCCCGAAGCCCAGCCGGGGGACAGTTACCTCCCGTCGGGATCAGACGCCCGGGGACCCACTCACTCCCGCCCAAACTCCTCCCGCACGGGGGCGCCCAGGGAACCCAGAAAGGCCGGGAGGGAAAAGGACCGAAACGTGTGTGTGACCCTGAGACACAAAACTCCAACAGTCCCCCCATCATCGAGTGAGAGGGGACGATCGGCAGACCTAGTCCCTGGCATTCTTTAAGCCGAGCAGGTGGACGCGCTGGGCCGCTTAGCTCTGCGGGGCTCGGGCTTCCGGCTGCCGCTGCCTCCGGAGCCTCGCGACCCCGGGAGCAGGTGCCCACGCTCTTTGGGGTGGGGTCTCCGTCATCCCTCCCCCAAGCCCGCCCACTCCCCGCGCCCGGACTACTGAGGCTGTGGTGTGTTTTACCCTAGCCCGGCCGCCTCGCTGGGTCACCCGCAGCTTTGCTCCCTGTCTTCGAATCCACTGGGTTTGGGCTCCGAGAGAACGTAACCCCGACAGGCAGGGACCCTGAAGCGTCGTTTTTCTTTTCCGAAGAGACCTCCTGAGTGTGGGAAGAACACTGACAATCTCCAACTCTTCCCCCACCGCGGCGCGAAGTGTACTTTGTCAAACAAAAAGTTAAGGGCAGTTCCCTGCCGGCTCTGCTAACCTGACATTTTCGATTTTGATTTTAACTCGATCGACGCAGAGGAGGAGGAAGACATAAGGGATCGGTTCCGCCTCACCACCTTAAAAACTTTATTTTTCTTTTTCTTTTTCTGGTGCAACTGTAAGCTGAAAAGTGTCAGAAAATTTCTGAGCTGAGAGGCCGAAGGGAGTTAGCGGGGCTGGGCTTCGGTTTTAGTTTTCTTCTCCCTGTACCCAACCAGCCAACCCGAGCTTTCCGGCCGAAGAAAATTGAAGCTAATGGAGATATCAAAGAGAGCCACAATTCCAAAGGCTCCTTTTCCGCCACGAGCACCCACCGTCCATCTGCAACTGTAATCACAGACACTCGCGGTGTCTTCATCACCAAGGGGCTCCGAGAAAAGGGTTGAAAATTCTCCGTCGTTAAAAGAAACCCTCTATTATCACTATTATTATTTGTGTGTAGCAACAGAAGAATGTCCCCCTCCTCTTAAAATTCCCCCACAATATTGAAACAGCATTTGTTGTTCCGATTCACGTAAATGCTTGAGGCCTTTCTGGAAAACCATTACCATTCAATGGCTAGAAAATTGCTCTCCTTCCTTTAAAAAAAAGGGCGGGGGGAGGTAGGCGCTGCAGCAGCTACAACGGACAACAAAAACTTTCTCCTGCATAATCCTTGCTCATGGAATGACAAAGAAATGATATTGACTTACCCCTGAACGGATGATGTGTTTGATAAGGGGGGTACATTTTTGAAGATTTCTCTTCGGGAGCTGCACAGACAGCTGCAATTCATGGGCGATGCTGATTGCCAGAAACGCTATGGATTGGCATGGGGTCTGCAGCTCACAGATCCTGATCAATACCCCTACACTCACACGCCAGATGGTTTGGGGAAAGACAAAAATAAAATAGTCCAAATCAACCCACCATTATGTCTTTTTGTATTGCTCTGATAAACCTACTTGTAGCACAAATGTGTTCTATCCAACACAAAACCTTCAGGATTTTGAACATTTGGGTAAAAATAAGCAGCCCCCTTCTTCCAGGGACTTAGGTTGCGGTTACTGTTGTTTAGTAAAAACAAAGCTGTTGGGCCCGTTATCCAGACTGGGTTTATTTGTGGGCTGTTTGTACTTTTTAAAATAATTTATAGGGTCTCTTAATTAAAGGTTCACTATGCTTTACCTCTCAAAGCCTCAAAAGAATTTTTAATGTAAAAGCACATATATGAAAAGCTCTGACAATAAACATTTCCTGTCTTTTCCTGCAATTGCTAATTCAAGTTCAGATTTTTTTTTCTTTTACACTGCAAGAGCTTACATTTGTTGTCAAAGCTGCATTTTATTAAAAGGCTTCTTTTGACATATTTAAGTGTTTGGTCTTGAAGAAAATCATACCTATGGATGTGCTATGCTAAGAAATGGGTATCCTGCTACTGATAAAATGGCTCGGGCAACTTTTGTCCAGATTCTAATAGTCATGAACTAGCACTCCCGCTACTACATTTCTATACAGTCTATTTGTGAATCAAATGCTTAGAGGAGGGGAAAACAGGAGTATAACTTCATGTTAAAAGGAAATACTCTTAAGTCGCAGAACTTCTAAAGGTTAGAGTATGTGTGCTAAACGAGGGGCAACTGAAAAGCAATTCTTCCTTTTTATTTTGTTAAAGAACTATAGGGAAAGAAACAGGAGAGATATTTCAAAACATACTTGAAAATTTTATTAGTACTGATATTCTTAAAATTATCTTCAAGTAGAAAATAAATACTTTTCCTTTTTAGAGAGAAAGGGAAAGGGCATACAAACCTAATTCAGTAAAATTAGGATACTTACTAAACAGGCACATTAATTTTCCTTTTAAATGGGTTTTGGGCTGAAATACAAAACCTCAAACCACCATTAGAAAAACAACATGAAAAATCTGCTTTAATCTAGCCCAATGAAATTATACACAAAGAAGCCAATACGATTTCATGATTTCCCTGAGATCGCCAATATTGATCGAGGGAAGGGGGAGGAATGGTGGGAGAGAGGGCGGGGGAGGAAAGGAGCCAGGGAGGGAGCCAGGCAGCCAGAATATGCAACTTACCTTTCAACTCCCCAGCACGTGACCGCTCCCAGGCACTCCAAAATGCAATTCCCTGGAGCAGATTTGTCTTTATAGCCTAGCAAATGAGTTTATCATTTTGAAAAAAATATTTAAATGGCAATTCATATACTTAGGTTTCTGTATGGTTTATTTATGGAGACAGTACCTACCCCGTGTTCCAGCCTGGGGTCACTAGCCACTCCTTGCAGGACAGAGCAGGCTGTGCCCAGCACTGGGGCACAGCAGACTCCTTCCCGGGCCTTACTCCTCTTCTGCCTTATTTCAGCCTCTGAGCACTCCTGGACCAACAGGAGATTGGACTCTTGTGAACTTTTGTTCAACTGGGTGTGCATTTCAAACATTAACTGTTTCAAATTATCCTAAGTGTCCAGCCACCATATAAAAGGTGGAGAGTGACAAGAGAGACAGTAAGAGGGAGAGGGAAAAGAAAGTCAGGGAAACAGAAAACTGAGTCCTTTTACCTGTCTGATGTCATGACATTAAAGATGTGAGCAGCTAGAGAAGTATGTCTAGCAAAGCAAGGGATCGTTCATTTTCTTACCCGGGCTTTGATATCACAAAGAAGCGATTTGAAAGAATAATTGGCAAGGTATTGGCCAGAGCTCAATAAAGTTGATCTATGAATAATGTCACTGTACATTCATGTGACAGGATGGTGTGGGAGGGGGATAGATATTTTTGCTCTGCAGCTAGAACAGAGAGGAGGGCAGCCACAAAAGGTCACCGAGACTAAGAACTGTTTTCCAAATGAATTAAACCTTTCTCTAGCACCAGGAAAGCACACACATACAGTATTCCAGACTGTGTCCTTGTTTTCTTACCAAGTTTTTCTAACAGCTGGAAGTGGTTGAAGGAGGCTGTCTTAAGGAGACCCCCTGCTCTTCTTTTGACAGTTGATCAAAAGAAAATAGGTCACGCTTCTCAAACTTATGTCCACCCTGTCCTTAATTACTGTCTCTTTAAACAAAGGCAACATCTGCGCAACCTCAGCAAGCTTGAATCTTCGGAGGCAAACAGAGCGCAACCTGCTTTGCTAGAATCTGTTACTTCTAAGGCTTTCAAAGCCGCGTAGCTCTCTGTCTTCAACCACCCCTCTACCCACACCCAGGCCGCAGCAATGTCCACCTCCTCTCTATTCCGCTCCACTCTCAGTCGCCAACCCAGGTTTTACAAAGAACGGAAATAATGGGCAGACAAAGTGCACTTTTTAAAGCTGTGGCTTGAAAGCGTTCTAGAACTCTCCAAGGCTCTGGTCTTTTCAGAAACAAGGTTTGGATATACAGATGTCAGCCAAGGCTCCAAGTCTTCTACCCACAGCCGTAACACTGGGCGGTCCTTTCCCAGGACTCGAGAGATGTGTGTGTGTG